ATCGGGTAAGATCATAAACTCTTTCGCAATGCCCCTTGGGGCCAACAAGCTGGGGGATAATATGTTTGCACTATATGTTTGCACTATTATCCCCGGGTCCTAAAAACAAGAGGAAAAATCCAGAAAATGCAACGCTGGAATTCTTCCCGGAATTACCTATTTCTAAGAAGGATGATCCCAAGTACCTCGTAATCAAATCACAGGACGCCAGAAAAATTATTGCATCCACTTCTTGCTTTGCAGTACATAAAGGTATTCAGGCCATAAGCAAAGACATTAACAAAATCACATGGCATCGTGACGGCAGCCTACTTCTTTTGGTCAAGAACCAAAAAATCGCTGACAAATTTTTACAAACCAAACATCTTCCTGGAGCTGGTGCTKTTGATATATCTCTTCACAACTCTCTGAACTCAGTAAACGGTACAATTTACGCTCCATTTATCTGTCAGCTTGCTGATGACGAAATAATTGATGGTCTAAAAGATCAAGGTGTATCCGCTGTTTATAAATTTACGAAGATAAACAATGGTAATCGTGTACCTACTGGTGCTTTATTATTAACTTTTGGTAAATATACTTTACCTAGTCGTATTGAAGTTGCCTGGTGTACCCTCGGTATCCGTCCCTACTATCCTAATCCCATGCGCTGAAAGAATTTTCAGTTGCTGGGTCATACTGCTAAGCTATGTAATAAGATCCCATCTTGTGCTATCTGCAATCATACCCCTCCCACTGAATGCTCTAGAGTCAAATGTGCTAACTGCGATGGTGAGCACCCTTCTACCTTTAACGCCTGTCCAAAATTTGTCCAGTCTAAAGAGATACTTAAAATTAAGTGTTCGATGCGTGAAGCCATCAATTTATACAAATCTCGAATGCCTTCTACTCCCTCACCATTCTCCTATGCTAATGTAACTGCTTCCAACAACAGTACTCACTCAAAAAAATACATCAACATCGAAAAAACTTCAAAAAGATAATAATTCTAATGACAACATTAAAGCTACAACTTCAAACAATAATTCTTCATCCCCTACCAACATACACTCAATCCATAATGATTGCCCCAAAACCCCTTCTCCGTCCGTCTCTTCCCTATACAATTCTCCCTCTCCATCCTTCTCACCCCTTTCCACAACTACTTCTCCTACCACTATAACCCGTTCCACAACTTGACCTGTACCCTCCTGCCATCCACAATCACATACCCAAGTATCCATAGATACATAATTCTATAAATATATAAATATATAAATTCAAATTAAAACTTACATGTTCCATACATATCAACTCCTCTCAAGGCAATCTACTATATCTACAGGATATAGCTTTAGAATTCGTCAAATTTTTCTCGTCAAACTCTTCTGACTATAATTTCTCCTCTGAATACTCGTCTAATAAGCACTCTTTAGTATTATTAAACGATTTCATTCAACAATGTAAATATTTCATGTGGGATCCGAACACCGGACTAGAAGTGGCCAACAATACAATGCTGACAAAAGAACACAATGACACGCAACCCTTTAACTGGACGAACTTTTGACGAAACACGAACAAGGACAAACCAGTCAAAATTCAGTTGAGTTTAAGTTGACGTGAACTGTTCAATAAGAAAGTCGTTCCGAGCCGTTGTCCGCAAGAACTAAATTTAAGACTTTTTATAAATAAACACTAGAACACTAGTTAATCGTTTAAATATATCGTGTTTAATATCTTGACGGGGAGTGTGGGTATTGGTCCCCATAATAATCCCCATATTCATGTTCTCCTACACTTAAGTTTCTCTCTTAATTCTAGATAGTAAATATGCATTCAAACAACATTGTCAATATATTAGAAATAGAATTACTAAAAACTCAAATACTGTTAAGTACCTAGCATGCAAGCGTTCGCTCATTGGCCCATCTTTGCTAATTAAGGTTGTCAAGGCACTTTTGTATGAGAATTTTGTCCAACACTGAAAGATAAGAGAGATTCCACTTCAAAACAGACCCGATTTCCCTCCTTTCTAACGCTACGGAAGAAAATATAAAAACCATCTATCGTTTTCTTAAAGAATGTGATCTATTGCGGAGAATGTAAACCAACACATTTATTCAACGGACAGCCGATAGCCTCTGAAGCTAGCGCTGCATGTTTTAGGTTGTACATATCTTATTAACATTGTATAAGCTTTTATAAATAAATAAAAATAAAAAAAATAAAAATATTTCTATGACGGTAAAGCGAAGTTGCTCGAGATCATCGAGACATATACATATCATTCACGAATATTGGGATACCACAAAGCTCTGTGCAAAGTGAGTGCCGCTCGAGCTTACTTTTGACTAAAAACAACGAGTTGACGATTTAGAGCAGTGTTTGGAGATGTTCAGACGTAATAAATCCAAGGTTTTGCGTCGATATGTGACAGTGGATGAAACATGGCTACATCATTTCACTCCGAAATCTAATCGACAGTCATCCGAGTGAACTACAAACGATGAACCTGCTCCAAAGTGTAGAAAAGCGCAACATTGGGAATGCGCAAGGAATAATTTTTATTGACTACTTTGAAGAAGGAAGGACCATCAACAGCGAATATTTTCATCTGAGTGGTGCGGTAAATAAACAAAACTGTTGATTCTGGTGGGAAAAAAATCCACCAATTATTCGTGAACAAACAATGCATTCACCTAAATTAACAGTTTGGTGTGTGACAGTTAGAGGATCGCTGTATTTACAATTTCAGTGAATCACACTTGAAGGAAACTATGTTGAATAAAAAACCAAAATTAAATGTTCACTATGCTTTCCCGGAGACTTTCATGTGGTATGTTAAGCAATCCTGCTATGAAAATCGTATATACATATATAATTTTCTACTTCACATTACTCAACGCTGTATCAGAGTTAACAACTTCTTACTTATACTCAGCTTTTTTTACTCGGCAGCACGGTAATTAGAACTGCCTCTGCTGCCAGCAGTGTCGCCGTGACACAGTGAAAAAATTCTTATTTTTGGAAGGTGTAGCACCAAAAGAAATTCACGAACGAATGTTAAAAGTGTGTAATGAGTGTTCACCTACAATTAGAACAGTTGAAAGTTAGGCCGCTGGACGTCCAAAAAGCGCATCAACAACAAAAATCATAGCCAATATACAGGATATGGTTTTTGAAGATCGTCGATTGACTGAGAGAGATTTAATAGTGGCTCTACACATCTCATTAGGCAGTGTGAGCCATATTTAAAATGAAATTTTGGGCTTTAGAAAGCTGTGTGCACAATGGGCGCTGCATTCGCTAACAGTGGAACAAATACACATTCGAATACGATTTTATCAGCAACATTTGGAGCGTTTTAAAAAGGATAACGTGGATTCATCACTATGGATGAAACTTGGGTCTATCACCTATCCAAAACAAGAGGCTAAAAAGTGGAGTGAACCTAGTTGTGCGGCTTCGAAACGAGTTCGTGCCCAGAAATCGGCCAAAAAGGTAATGACATCAGTTTTTTGGGATGCGAGAGGAATTATTGCAACCTTTTGGAAGAGTTGAAGTAAATTTTCGTGAAAAAAGACCCGGTTAACAGAAGAAAAAAAAATATTTTTCAGCAGGACAATGCACCGTGTCACAAGAGCATTTTGACAATGGCTAAAATCCATGAATTGTAGTTCGAATTGTTGGAGCATGCACCGTTTTCACCAGATTTGGCCCACAGCGACTTCCATTTGTTATATGCGTGACAAGTGCTTTTCATCAAATGAATTTTGTATTTTGCAGACCTTCTGGATTCTCACTTTTGGGATCTGATCCACAGATTGGAGGATCGTTGGACCAAGTGTATTAATTTTCAGGAAGGTTATATTGAATAATAAAGTATATTTTGAATCATTTTGAGAGTTATATATATAGTTATATATATATCAATAATAATTGTCTCCTTCATCTGTAAGGTTTATAGGAATTATAACTAAATTCAGTAATGAAACACTCTCAGTACTTTTTATACTGAGAAAAATAAAGAACATGGTGGCATACCTTATATTTTGGGCATGACAGTTTTTTGCAAAATTTTTGAAATTGAATAATGCCAGACTGTAATTTACGAAATTGCAACGCCGTTCAAAATAATAATTGTAATAATAGCAAAAAATAATGATTAAATAGCGTTTTACGTACATTCAAATAAATGAATCAAAATTTGCCCTACATACATATAAATCCGTTTGCCACAATATAGTCTTCAAAACTATTTTTTATTTTTTTTTGTTTTGTTCATAAATAACATTACACTGATTTGTTACAGGTTTGATCTTCTTTTTCTACGTGTATACTAAGTATAAATATGTATGATCGTTTTCAATTTTTCTGGTTTGTCGCGAAATAAATTTAACCGGTATATCGAATTAAACGGAACGAGGAGAAACCTATATTTGGATTCCTTAATAAATAGTAGCTTGAAATCATTCGGGAACTACTTCCGAGAGAATTTCAAGTAATATCCGTAACAGAAAACCAAGATTAGATCAGCAGTCTGAAGGTCTTCGATTAAGTGTTTTTAAACGGAACAATGAATATCCAGACAAAGGAGGTAACGATTCGAAAGGAGTTATCCAAAAAGACAAAGATGGACAAAAAAATAGTGTATTTATTTATTCAAAGAGAAAAGGACAATTTCAAGATTTCTTCTCTGCAAATAAGAAATCTGAAATCGTTAATGATCTATGGTATAAGAAAGAATATATAAAACTGCGCTATTACGAGATTACTAAATGTTTTCAAGAGGATATAATATCATAAAAGATAGAACAAATGGTATACTCGCTCTATTTTCTATGTCGAGATTTAAAGCGCACATATTCGAAATTTGAACATTTTTAGCCAACCAAAATTTCTAATGTTTCAATATATAGTTCGTTATGTATGGTTATAGGAGGTATTTTCGGGCGTCAGATATGGGTTGTATATTATATATGTATGTATACTACAGATGTATGTAAAAAATATGAAAGTTACTATTAATCGTATATTATTTCTCTGTTGCATTCTTATTGTATAAAAACTATATACATATGTACTTTAATATTTCTTATTTTATTTTTATAAACTAATTGTGATATAACCTTCAATCGATGCTATTGCCTCTGTTGCTTTTCTAATAACTTTCCCCCACTTACATACATATATTTATTTATATATGTATATAGACTATCACTTATAGCGATGTAGTACACACACACATTTACCTTAAATTAATATTTACGGCCGACGCCTGGTCCTGGATTCAATAGACGACAAAAATGTGGTGTTGTCACGCGACAGTCGACCTGCATGTGACGTCTTTGCCGCACCGACTGTGGTCATTGTCGATTCGTTGATGCTCCGTTTATGTATTCACTGTGCCTTTTCACCTGTGAATGAAAGATATATACACATAGTAAAATGTTATATTAAATATATGTATAAAGATTACCCTATTGGCATAGTAAAGTGAAACTCAAGAAAACAGATCTTAAAATGTACAGCATATATTTAAACGTTTTTAAAATATAGTGTATAAGTAATGTATATAATTATGTAAGGAATTACTTAAAGATTTGAAGATTAAATACTCTTGCACTTTTAAGAATTCAGAAGTATGTAAAATATTTCGAGGAATCTGCAAAATAAATAAATAAAAAAATTCGGAAGAGAAAGTTTAAACTAACTATGCACCGCCGCTGCATAAAATTGGACGATTAGATTTCAGGGAACCTGTGGGGTGTTACCAAGAGCAGGACGAGGAAGAGAGAGATGAAGTATATCAGAAGAACACAACCACTCACACTTTTTTACAAACCAATTCAAGCTATTCTCTTTGAAATGTTGGGTTTCTCTATATTCGTGCGGTTTTGGCAAGAAATGGCTAATTAACTTGATTATGAATCCAATATCCCGAACATGCGTTGGAAACCTACTGCCTTTGCGTGCCTTTTTCAGTAAATATCAATCATTGTTGTGGTTGATTTTTTCACTCAAATGTGAAAAAAGCGTTTTTCGGCGAGTTCTTCTTCTTTAATTTAATATGTGCCAAGGGAAGCGAAGCCTGCCAAAACTGGTTTGTACGATATAAAAGCAGTGATTTTGACTCGAAAGACGAAAATGTACTGAGCGACGAAAAAAAATTAAGGTGAAGAAAAATGGTTGCCAAACACAAGAGGAGCTCGCAGAATCTTTGCGAGTCACTCAAGGATTTTTTAGATGGGAAAAGTGAGATCTTCGGATAAGCAATACTTTGAATATACTAATGTACATATTTTTCTTACTGCTTTATACAATCCGGAAAATCATAAAATGCAAAATAGCTAAACTAGCGGGCACGCGTTGCTGTGAAAATTTTTTAGAAATAAAGGCGAAACCGTTTTTGTCGCTATAGGAATCCAAAGGATTGTCGTTGAGACTTAATTTTGAGTATGTTCATACAAAAAAATTATAATGGAAAAAGTAACGAATAATAATAAGGCTGCTTTCTCATTGTCTGGTTACCAGTCTTTCTGTTAAGTTAATGGAGTTGTCCGCTTATAAGTGCTTTCACTGTATTTTTTATTTATGAATGCTTTTCACCATCCTATCTTTTAAGTTGGCTCGATCTTTGACTAAAATTGGTTCAGTAGTTTAGCAGTCCATCTCGGACAAACAACGTGACACGTGATTTTTTATATAAAGATAATAATTTGTAATGCTTTGACAGTTATTATTAAGTTTATTAAATAAAAAATGAAATTTACACATTTTTCAACAAGGCAAGCAAGCAAATGGTCCAATTCTTCTGAAGTAACTAGAAAATATAAGAATTTTCTCCTGACCCAAAATATCAATTTGGCCTCCTATCACAGTTCTCAGATTTTTTATTGAAACGTCGCAATCGACGTCGTTCAGCCAATAACTCTTCCTCCGTTTCATCAATCATTTGTGGTTCTAACCTAGCAGTTTCCAATGAATATGGGCGAAACGGTGCTGATGAATAGAAATAATCATCTTCGTACCAATCGCTATCGCTGTCATCTGTGCCGCTCTCACTATCGCTTTCGTCTTCCTCCTCCTCTTTATCGATGCGATCCTGGAAAGCAATTATGGCAGCTAATATAGACAGACGCTGAAGTGCCGTTAAGTGTATAGGTTGTGGCTCAGCTGACACGTCTGCTGCTCGACTTGACAAATTAGACTCTCCTGAGCCTTCCACGACGTCGGACTTCTTTTCGTTTTCAATCTTCTTAAGAATGCCAGGCATTTTGTGTAATAATATTTTAATTAATATGTTATTTTTCAAGCCGATAAATATCGGAAGGTGTTACTTGTCTGCTGATATTGAGCGAATGTGCCGAAATGCAAATTTGCTCGGCTTTATATCGTCGTCTGCCGAACAGTTACGGTAGCAGGTAGAACTTAACAATTATTTGGGTTGATTCCAAATATCGAGCAGTTTTTAAGGACAGGTAGAAGATAGGCGTAAACAAGTAATGCCATAAACCTTCATTGTACGTGTGTGTGTGTGAATAATTTTTAACTCCTTAAAATCTCTCATAACAAAGGCTAACGATTGTTTACTGTTAAAAAGTTTAAGTACTGATTAAAGTTACCTTGTTTTGATGTTTTCCACTTAAAAAAGGATTCATTTGCAAATTGTTACAAAAACACTACTTAACTGATAGCGTAATAGAACAAGAACAATACAGTAGAAGGTATTTGAATGCATATAAAAAATTGTTTTGCTTCCGTAATGTTGTTTATTAATGCTGCGGATAAATAACAATGGAAGGAAATTATTGTAAATAACTTCTTTTACTCTACTGTAACAAGTAACGTCCATTAAGATTCATCTAGAGTTCTTGGATATGAAAAAATAAGTTGCTCTTGCAACTAGTTCAGGCAAAAGGAATAACTAACAAGCAACTTCCATATGATTTCAACGTATAATTATCAGATGTAAGCGTTTTCAGATCGAAATACTGTCATGTATTGGACTAAATCTCGCCAGAAGATGAATGATGCCTCCTTATAGTCGTATAAACCAGCGGTTATTAGAATCCTTTCCGGAAAGACTTAAGGTTCATGTATGCTAAGAAACTTTTTGGGAACTCCACTCCTTATGTGGGAGCAACAAATACCTTCTTATGAGTGGTGGGACGCTATGGTCTCGAAAGAAATGAAACAGTATAAAATAAAATCAGAGACTTTTGGCAGATCTAGCCATAAAGAATCACTGCGAAATCCAGTAGATACTGATGAGTAGCAAAAATATAAACTAGGCAAGAATATCGAAAATAAAAAGTTATTTCCAATAAGCTCGACATCTGACTGCCTGCCGATATCTGATTGATCACAGGTGCCCTAACTGGCTTCATATGCATCGACCTGGTCTTCCGCAAGATTTTCTTGAATCAACCACTTTAAATTTGTTTCCTCAATTTTCTACTATCATCTTAGAACTTCTAATTCAAGACAAGCTCCTCGATGATAGTCCACTTTCATCCGCAACAATAACAATGATTCCTTTTGTAAGTAAAAAAACATCTTTTTCGCATTAGTCAAAATTTTTATTTTTTAAAAAAAGGTGGCTTTGAAAAAAAGTAACCTCTTTTGTAAAAATCTAAAATTTAAATTAAAATCAAAACTCAAACTTAAATTATTGTAAAAAAATCATATTATTCCATTATTATATGAAAAGTATATCCTGGACAGTCGAGAGAAAACTTGAAGTAAGTCGGTCATGCCGTTTCGAAGTAATTTTCCTCACCGATTACGAATGCTGATTACAATATTTAAGAATATAATCGATATGTGCAAAATCATCAATCATCCTGGAGTTTTAAGTTTGATATTGAAATAAGCTGATTTTCTTGAAAAAATATTTTTGTTTTGAACCGATTAAGAAAACAATTTTGTGTACAATATGAGTTCATTTAAAATGAAATAAATATTGTAGCGTTATTAATCTCCCTTTTCATAAAGAGAGCAATAATAATAAAATAAAATACCGTTCAGAAAAAAAAAAACAAAATATTTGTGAAAAGGAAACCGTCAATTAGTGTGTAGTAATTGAATACGGCTATGTAATAAAATAAATTAACTGGTGAATAGTACTTACGAGATCGGCAACAATTGGCTCCTCAATTTCGAGTCCTTGCAGCGCCTGCTCTCTGCTCAGATGCACTTCGTACGACATGGTTGGCGAAACGAAAACGACGCGATGTTTACGTGTTTGTAGAATATTCGCAATAACCATCTGCGTGGAGGGGGAGAAAAATATATGAAATAATGAACAGTAAAGCTTATGAAAAAGGTGGAAAACTGGGCCAAAGAAAGAAACATGAACGACGCCTAAGTGGTTAAGTGTACTTATTTAGTTTTATGTATATATAAATAAATATATAAGTATAGTATATCGTGTAAGAGCGCAGACAGTTGGTTCAGGGCAATATTGAATGAAAATATTACCGTTAGGGTGTGTCAGTTTGTGACAAAAAATAATTATATACATATATTTATTTTTTCATTTATTTAGTATTATATTTATGAAGTTCAAAAAGATGTTTTGAGGCGTTACCATACTAATAATGAACATTAGGGTATGGTAATTTGTAAGAAAACAATAACAATAGTTGTGCATTTACGGTTTATTCTATACTATGGTCGTACAGTTTTTGAAAGGTATAATTGTACGAAGAGCTGAGCATTAGGGTCTGACAGTTTGTAGCTCAATACTATTTGCATATTACCGGTCCATTGATGATTAGGGCGTGCCAGTTTGGAAGCATAAAATGTTTTTGCTTTTTTTATCTATTAAGCATCTGCTGACAAACTGAGGATTAGGGCGTGTACTTTCGTAAAAATAATTGTATTGATTATAGCAAAAAAAAACTTATCTATTAGCATTAATTACTATTTCCGTACTTGAACTAATATTTTCTACACTTTTTGGCAGTTTTAACTTTTCAAAGAACAATACTTTCTACAACAAAACCAAAAAATATTATTAATCACCCTATTAGCGTTATTTACATAGTAGCATATAAAAATGTGGCACGAAAGCGAAATAGCTAAAAGCTATACACGTACACATGTACATTACTGTATTGCCACATCGACAGGGTTTTGCATAGCACACGTGATTGTGACAGTTAAAAAAAAAAATAATAATAAAAAAGAGTGGAATATATAGGTATGAATGCCACGAAAAAAATATTAATTTCCATACAAACACACATACGGACAAAATGAAGGTCAGCAATGCAAACCAGGTAAACTGTATAAAAAAAAAATTATGCATACGGTTGTGTGTGTGTGTGTAGGCGTGTAAACAAAAGTGCACTGAGATGTTTGGCATTGGAAACGCGCTGAAACTATGTGACAATTTCGAAATAAAAACATTTGGTACGCTTTTCAAAGGCAAATAAATTATTGGCATGCACAAAACTTAACCTTACAAATTGTCATAAACTAAACTGATATATTAATTTTCCTCGATTTCTCTGTACCCGCCATACAATTAAGCCATTGTCAATAACAAGAACATAACAAGAAGAGTTCATGGTATGTATTACTTTGTTTGGAAAAATATGTTCAGTATTTATGTTTGTTATAAGAAGGGTGGTTCAGCCCCGACCAAAACACTATTATTGAATTGGCTATCCGCTAATTACAGAAAACATGGTTATCTCCCCACAAATAGGTAAACAATTTCAACGTTAATGTGTAGCCGTCACGCCTTAGAGGCTGGTATGTTTGGTGAAGATGCATTAAAAAGAAATTTTAAGAGAGAGGCTATTTGCAAGCGGTGACACTGAAACCAGCTAGTAGGTCGAGGGTGCACCTCAGACAATGAACTTAGCGACATTTGACACTTTGTTGTTGTAGTATCTTGAGGTATTATTGTAATATTTTTGAGAATGATATAACTCTGCGTACACCAGCAGGCTAAAAATTTTAGACGGGTATATCCTGTAGTTAGAAATAACCTTTAAAAGGCACGTGTCGAATTTGCACAACTGTCGCAATTATCAATAGTGTGAGTTAGTAAGAGTGCACTAAGAGGTTTGCCAAATTCCGCAGACGAGGAAAAGATGCAACAAATCGACAAAACTATTACAAGAAAGCTCTGTGTAAAGTGAGTGCCGCAGGAACTCATAGCTGTCCATCCATTCATCGAGATACAAGCGATTGCAAAATTTCTTAAGTAAGGCTTGCATGTTGTTCTTACATGGACCATGTTCGTGGATTCTGGCCTTCAAAGAAAGAAATTTAGCGAAAGTGAAGAAGTAGTCGCCGATACTGAATAAATTAAATCGAGGAATTGGAGGATCGCCATTTACATTTCACCTTAGATGATTAAAAAATCCGCGTTTTTCTGCCTAACTGTTACGTATAAAAATCCGACAAGCACACAGAATAGTTCGGGGAGTGAGTAATTTAGATTAAATCAGTTGTAAAATTCTAGTCGGGCTTCTGTCTAGCGTAAAAAGGTTAAATTTTTTTGGTATGTTTATTATCCACATAACGTACTGTGCCGTACTAAAAAACTTTTGATACCATCAAAGGTTATGGAACGCTTTCATATACCCTGTAGCTACACTCTCAGCCCGTGATTTGAGATTTACATCATCTTGATAATATTCTCCAGTGAAAGACTAGGGATTGGTTTTTTGCATAGTCTAAGATACATACATATATATCATAGTGGGTACATCTTTCTGTATTTTAATCCAAACTTTTCAGTTGAGAAAGTATAAGTTCGCTACTACAAGTATACTTTTAATCTTTTTCCTGTCTATATAATACTAACTTTAAATTTGAAGTCCGGACCCAGCAATCTAACATTGCTATTACACAGCTAAATTTTTCACTGGAATGTTTTTGGACGGATGTCGCTGATGGCTTTTATGTTCTTTCCGTATGGGAATTATCTAGTAAATCAACAAGTCGTTCAGTTCTAGCGCTCATTAACTAAAGGCTTTTTTAGCAAACCTGACAATCATTGTGACAAAAAGTACCCGGAAATTGTACATAAAACACAAAATATTTCATTATTCATCAAAATTTACTTTGTCGTCTTCTAAGTCAACAGATGTAATGCACTTATACCAACGATTTTTCATTCCTCGAAACACTTTTTATAAGCTCTTTTTGGGATGGCAGTTTGCGAATTTTATTTTATATTTATTTTATTTTCGTTCGACTGAAAACGGTATGGGAAACAAGAAAAGATCACATAGAGCCAAGTCTGGTGAATACGGTGGTTGATCGCTGGTATTCATTGCGTTTTTGGTTTTAAATTCGGTCCGAATCGTACTATTAAAAAAAATCTGCTTTATTGCGACAGTCAGTCAAACGGACTCGCGAGAGATGACGAGCTCTCTTGCCACTCTAACCTGACGATTAATTTTTTTAATATTTTCACCATTTGAAAAAGTCCTCCGGAAGGAGGCATGATCCTCGACCGTTTTTGAAGACTTTGTACTTCTCTTAGGCTTATCTTTTTGATAAAACTGAATCACTGTAAGCCTTTTCCAATATTTAAAACAAATTCTTTCTTCGAGTTTTTTTTTTAGTGGCAGTTAGAATTGGCATAGTAATTAAGGGCAGTCCTGCCAACTTACCAAAATACATTTTTTTAAATATCATTTACCCAGGAAATTTAATTACTGGTTCGGGTGCTTTTTTGTCACAATATATGCCCGATTTCAAGGATAGGTTTTACATTCGTTCTCGTAAATCCTTATAATTACCAAAAAACATGAATATATCGGGCAATGCAAATGAAACGTTTTAAAATCGAATGTCCACATGCCATAAAATACTAATCGCCAACAACATTAAACACCTACATATTTACATAGTACATTCACTTATGAATAACTATGAGTATTAATAAACTAAATATGGAACGATCGAAGGCATGTTTGTGCCTTGGAATGTTGGCGTGTCAGTCTGTTTGGTTGTCGTGCTGTTGTCCACTTTCATTACCAACAGGCCACCGGGCCAACAGAGTTCAGGCCACAAATGCAAATATTGATATTTTAAATTGCACAACACTTTTTGTAGTGGTCTTTTTCATTTTTTGTTATTGTTGGGTTGTGTTGGGTGTGGCATCGGTGGGTTGAATAGGGTTAATTCAAAAAGGTAACTATAGAAATGCAAACGGCCGCAGTTGAGGGGGCATATTAGCCAGAGGGCAAACTAAAGCACGCTAACATAAAAGGGCATATTAATATATATATATATACATACACATATATTCATAATTGAAGTGCACTTGTACTCACCTTATGATTGTACTTGAAGAGACTATCGCGCGCCTTGGTAATCAATAAATTCTCGTCTGTTTCCAGCTTGAATGAGACAACAAATGCATGTGGCACCCAGAGGCTTGCCAATGGCGCAAGCATTTTTGGCACCAACTGCAGCGAGATTGTCGGTGCACCTTGACCGGACTGTATTTTGTGAGTAGGCTGCAAAGTAAATCAAAATAATTATACATAGTACATACATACCTACATTGATTAAAATGACAAGTGATGAAAAGAATATGCAAAATACGTACTATATAGTAATATACAATAATTATGAGAATTAAGAGATGATGAATAGCAAAGTGTAAAATTTTATTGATTGAACTAAAGTTATAGTTGCACACTGAGGTGATGTAATAGGCGAATGCGTCGAGATTTTTAAATTTTTACAGGATCATCTTAAGGGGAAAAATACGCGTTTTAGTTAAAACCTTAACTTAGAACGTGGGTAGAAAAATAATTAAAATTGGATTTTTAGCAGACATTTAAATAAAATTAAAATTTCAGGATTTATTTTTTTTTTAAGTTTGAAATAGTTTGTTATCGAAAAAAATCAATTGTCCAAGGGTGTGTAAAATTTTATGACTTTGTTTGAATAGTTATCGGGAAATCTTGCCAACCGACTTCAAAAACAAAGTTTCGCTATTACGGCAGAGGCGATTTTATACTTCAAAATTTAAAAGAGTTCAAAACAGTCTAAAAAAGTGGTAGAAAACGAGCAAATTTTTTAAGACGCCAACTTCAACACGTGCCAATTTTTGAAATCTTTAACTTTTTTTACTACTCTCTTAAAATTAAAAATACCAATTTTCCCAATAACCTCTTTTAAGAAGGTATATTATTACTGAATTAAAGCATCTATGTTTTTAAAACTTTCATTGAATTCATTTCCATCTTGCTACAAATATTGCTTTGTAAGGTTACTCATACGCCCCGGCACTTTTATATTACCAATTTATTTGCATACAAGAGCATACAAATGTGTATTTCTGCATATAATAATAATAATTTACCAATGCTTCCACTTTGCATACATGCACCCATACATACGCATATATGTGTATTTAAGACATTATAATCAATTTGAAGCCGTTGTATGTTAATACAAAGAGTCGGTGACATGTCAACAGCGTGAAAAGGAATTTCTTTGTGATTCTGCATAGAAAAATTATTGAAATTGAGCGGAAAGTATAGAAAACTATTAGGTTTTCTAAGTATAGAAAACTATTAGGTTTTTTATACTTATGGGAATAGGTTTGCAAATGAGCTATGAAGATGGTCGTTGACAGAGACAACGGACAAAAAAAATTAAGAGATTTTAAGAATTTATATTCAAATGACGTTTTCATAAATATATCAACTTAACACATGAAAGTATTAAAGAGTATGTTAATATATTAAAACATTAATTTTTTTAATCTCACACTAGATGTGCCTCATAATAAAAACTTTCATACCCTGCTGGATCTTCCTCATCAACTAATGACAATATTAAAAACAGTAAAGAAAAAAAAGGGACAGACGGCGAATAAGCAGTTCTATTTGGCCATATTGAGGCGTTTTCGTTAGAACATTCGTCGAAAACGGGCAAAATTGTTATTGAACTATTCATGGATTTTACACGATGATAATGTAACGAGCTACGATTATGACCGAATTTAAACGCAATGGATACTATCGATCAATCACCGTATTCACTAGATTTGGCTGCATGGGAATTCTTCTTGCTCTCCAAACTGAAAGTGCCGCTCCGTGAAACTCACTTCCAGTCGATCAAGAGATAAAAGACAAAATTCACAGAATTAGCTGAAGGCCATCCCTGCTTATGAAAGTGTTTTTGGTAGGTCTGGAAAAATCGTTAACATAAGTGTATTACATCTGGTTTGGATAGCTTTGAAGGCGACAAAATAAATATTAATGAATAATTATATATTTTGCGTGTTTTTTTTAAATATTTGAATTTGGGTACAATGAATAGGAATATTGCCATTTTTTAATTAATTTCCCATCTTTCATAAGAAGCAACAATTTCAATTGCTTTCGACCCTGTCCGCTAGCGTTAATCAACATAGATGCTATTAAATTACTTTATCCGAGCTTTAATTAGGCAACGAAACGCAAAAAAAAAATCAAAACAGAACATAAATCGAATGCAACAACAGAAAGAAACGAAAAGCCAACAGCTACAAGTCTATAATTCATTCATAAACGCCAGTGAGCAGCGCAGTTAGCCTTGCTGCCGCACAAAATCCTATTGCTGCCTCGACACTATAGCAAATATGTATATAGTATAGCCCTAGGCGCCAAAATTACATTAAATACATAAATATAGATAGACGAATATACATATAATATAATATAATATATAAAAAAGTTGAAAGTAGTGATAAGCAATTGGTTATCCAAGCGAAGGAGGGCATGCCTGTTTGCGAGCCTGACTGGACTTGTCAGTCAGAAGAGTTGTGGTTGAACGAATAGCAAAACAAAATGAAAAGCAATTTTGTGGAAATGATTATTTCAGTATGTATGTGCCGATAATGTGTTTCTAACTACCTCTTCGGCAAATATCATTGATGCTTGTAAATATACTAAAATTTTGCTAATAAATCTTTCAGAATTTCGAAATAAACGCACACATAGGAAAATCAATCACACTCAGGCACAGAAGCAGTTAGCAAATATATAAATTATGCACAAATGTGAATGAACTGAATTAACGGCAATTTCAACAAAGGCATTGTCATGACTGTCATTTATTTTGACATTTCAATTATTTGCATTTAATATTGACTGAGCATCATTTAGGATGTGAACAAACACATTTAAATAAATGCGATTTACGCAGCAGCAACAACACACACACACACATGTACACATGCAGATATACTAATGAAATACGCAGTGCGTGAGTGCCAGAAACTTCGCTGCCGCTGTGCAAATGGAACTTGAGCTCTAAAAAGCATTTTATGCTTGGCGCGTTCGTATTTTATGCGCCTTCAGCATTTACAAAAGCCATACAAGCACACGCACATACATATGTAAATATGTATGTTTGTATAATAATTCAATTTCACTTATGTAAGAGTGATTGCGCGTTTCCAATAAATATTAAATATAAGCGCACATACCTACATAAATACTTGCATATAAATCAAGCTATGAGGGTTTTGCGCCAATAAACGGAGCTTAACATCATAAAATAAATAATGAACTTCTAGAGCGCAGAAAACTTCTAGAGCGGAAAGCGTACAAAAATGGTGGAGAGGGAAAATAAATGCTGAATGCTTTGAGTCGTGCGCAATTTGGGGATTTCAAATTAATTTCATTAATTTGTGAAGCTGACGGAAAGCATATATTTAATTATGTAACGGTTCCATGGTTACATAAGGAGCATACAAAGCATCAGAAAGTAAAAATAAAAGCCAAGCAAGTCAAGTTAAATTATGTAACTTTGAGCAAAGCCAAAAGCAAGTAAAGGTAAATGTCTATAAAGAGTAAAAATTGAATTTATAAAAAAGTTATTTTGCAATAGAATCATCTAATATATTTACTTTTGGCAAGTCTTGATATGAATTCGCAAATATAATTAAATTAATTTAATTAAAATTTAAAACTTTTCAATCATGAGCATTTTTTATTTTACACAGTCATCAAATAAAGCTCAATATAAGCACGAAAAAAATTTCTTTTGAAGTTGCTGAATATCCACAAGTTCAGAAGAAGGAATTCAGAATGCACCACACCTCAATAATCGAAGAAAACTTTCAAAAAAACATTGATTTTTTACCTGCCCTGCCTAAATGTGTTTTTTCTCGGTTCGGCTCGCCATTGCCACGATATTCGGCCGATTGATCGTCTGTTTAGGGTCGTAAGATTAGATCCAATCATCGCCAGTAATAATACGTCTCATGACTTTCTGGTAGTCGGAAAGTATTGTTTCACAGACATTTACTCGACCCTGTTTTTTTGAACCAACCATGCTTGCACTTTTCTTTGGCCCAAATAATCTTTCAAAATAGTTTTCAGTTTAGTTAGTCTCACCAATTCCTTTATTTGTTGAAGTATTGATCACCAGTTGATGTTGATGGTTATCCTGGACGTAGTTCGTCGTCAACCCGTTCGTTCCCTCCCATTCCCTCTTTGAATAATTTTTACCAATCAATAAAACAGTTGCTCCTGACAAATAATTATCACTGACCGATAACGTTTTCTAACATTCTGACCTTTTCGGCACTAGAAATTTGATTCCGCAAACAAAATTTAATATAGCTTCTTTGTTGAATAATTTCACTCATGGTAAAAATCGCCGAACGCACTTTATGTATTTCAGAAAGGCAAGCATTAATTATAACTTTGATGTGACATTGACATTGACATTTGACACATACATATGTCACTGAGAGTCAACCAACATAGAAAAAAAAATATTTCGAAGAATGGGTTTTCGCGTGAAATTTAATTAAAAAAGTGTAACTATTTTTTGCTCACAGTATTATTCAGATGAAAGGACATGGCTAAATCCACACCGCTTGTTACACTGATCGTTTATACTTTATTTGGCCACCGACATTTCCTTCTCGGGGTTACAAACTTCGTGGCAAAAAATTTTACCAAACTTTAGCATATTCCACTTTTCCAAAATGCTTGTAATTAATAGCACGTGCAAAACGAAAGTTACTTTCCCTTATACAAACATTTTCTACACCGCATTTACTAAGATAATAACAACAATGCAGCCATCTTGGTCGACATCACCACCATTGTCAACAACATCGCCAACAATCTATTTTTAGCATCGTAAATACTTTTTTCAATTTTTTCGCAGCAAAAGCTGTTACATTATCAGTATTGATGTTGTTGTCGCCTTTCAGCGAGCAGTCAGTGTCGTTGTTAAGTAATTTGATTTGCATAATTTCACTTGTAAATGCTTGTCGCTCCTTACTTTTCGCTCCCACGCGCTCCATACGCTCTCTTCACTTCTTTTGCTGTGAATTAATGCGATGATGACTTTTTTATCGCCTTGTGGGCAACAGTTGGCTTTCTTTGCCTATGACGTCTATAACAACCGTCATCATGCGGCATTGTCACCGCGAAGGCTTTAAGCCAAGTAAATCTTCGTCGCAGAAGGATGCGAATGTGTGCTATGGCCTACATATACATTTATGCCAGTTTATCCGTAATATATGTAATAGGGCAGCTACTACATTTACCTTTCTATCGGAAGCAGACCTCCTACGCTCTCCTCCATTATGTTTTGAAACTGGATTTTATACTCTCGTTAAAGCTTAAGTATTAATGTGAGTACAACAATCGATATTGTGTTGGTTGGACTTAAGAAGAATGAAAATGCCAGACAGGGCTTTATTTTTTATTACGAGTTTATAGGCTTTACGCTAGCTTTTTTTATTTAGTTTTATTATGTTTGAATATTTAATTTTTTTTTTTTTTKTTTTCAGCCTTAAATATATATTTTAATATAAGTATATTCATTTAATTTAATAACTTATTTTAGTAAGTTTTTTATTTAGTGGGAAAGATAATACCACTCAAACGTGAAAGAATTCAAAAACTAGAAAATGTCAGGAAGTCAAGTGAATTTCCTTGTTTTCAGAAGATAACTTGTCTCGTTCTAAAGATGGATAAAGTGTTTCAGAATATCCCAATATATTGATGTTTTTTGTATGAACGGACCGGATCGTAGGTTTATGAATATGACGTCGATACTGTCTCTAAATGATCTGAAACCGAAAATCCCGTGATTCATTGAAGGCGCTGAAGGCAGTCCTATCCTATGCTTATAACAATTGTATAGAAAATCGGAAAAATCGTTGAAACACTTGTATTGCACCAGGATCATATTTTTAAGGCGATAATAATAATTAAAATAGATGGAAGTGTTGTTGTTTCTTGTCTGCCCGAATCAATTTTGTTCAGATAATATAACGCTGAATGAATTGTCTATATTGCAAACTACAAATAATAGTCGGTCGGGCATAGCAACAAGCTGCAACACACATACACACCTATAAACATACATATATACAAGCGAACATATACTTACATACATATATGTATGAACGCCACACAATGAGGCTTCCGCGCTTCATTCACAAGCCCGGTCCAATGACATCAAGGCAAAGAGAATTAGAGCAAAACAACCACGGCCAACTTTGCAGTCATTTGAACATAGAGTCAGCGAAGCAACTAAGCTACACTCGTTTGCACTGCTGCTGGCGACAGCAAGACAGTGGTGGCGAGCAAGAGCAATGTCAAGGCGACCGTCACCCAACATCGAAAGCAAACTTTTCACAAATAAATGACAGGCGAAAGCAACAGACGCATATAGTTACATAATATATCTAGTCTGCTTAGCGCCTTTGTGGTGGCAAAGATGTCACACCAACACTATAATATAGTTGGGGATGTCGACCGAAGGCATGCATATTTAAGAGACCCTTGTGAGTGTTGGTGGAGTGGCATATTGACGCAAAGCGGATGATAAAATTAAACTGAATGGAATATTGAAAATGATAATAAAGTCATTTACATATGTATGTATCTGTGTACATTTACTATATTGCATACGAAAACAGTGGCAATAAGAAGCTTTTCCTACAAGCAAGAAAAAAAAACGTTAAGTTTAGTTGCATAGTAGCAATATGTTTGTATGACAGCTACATATATGCTATAGAGATTCGATCTGAATCTGAAGACAAATTTCGTGAAGATATCTTACAAAATAAGAAAGTTTTTAATACAGGATCACAAGTTTAATCGGTTAGATTGTATGATAACTGCTATAGTGATCCAATATGAGGAGTTCATCATATACATACATATATTATTTATAGGGTTCTTGACGTTCCGTATTAAATGCAGACAATCTGCATAGCCACCAAGCACGAATTAAAACTTACTCTTTCCGAGCAAACCTTGTAGAGTAAGTAAAGTGTTTATACAAAGTATTGTGTTAAAAACATTGTCAAATCAGCTGCTATCCACGCTTGAACCCACTGCCAACTGTTGAAGGAGGCATTAGCACCAGCATGTTATCACCGTGTTGCTGTAACCCACCCATTCAATGTGGCCGCCTATAAGTAAATGGATATTCAGCCATTGTTTTAAAAATTCCATTCATTTTCACTCGTGCTGGGCGCCAGCAGTGGCGAAAGAGAACGATCGAAGAATGACAGCTGTTGAGTTGGAGGTGTACAAAAGACCTTGCCAATGGTCATAGGGATAATAAAGATAATAACAAAGATGAAAATAGTAGCGTAGATGACTGAATATATGAATATGTTGAGCCTAAAGATAATCATTGCGGCGATATGTTGAAAGTGAGGCAAATAAAAAATGAATGGCCTGGCACCTCAGGCGTAAATATTTTATGTACAAAGTATATATGTACACACATATGCATAAATTAAGTACGGTTTTCATCATACAACACTCTGATATGCAGAGACTTGTTTAAAGTATTTGCAATACAAAATTTTGCATAAAATAAATAAAATTGAAGAAGAGAGGTAGTATATGTTTTTGAAATTCAAATATTTTATTATTTTCAGATATTACGAATTATCACAGTTATTATCACCAGTCTGATAATATCACCAAAAAATAGAAAATAAAAATATTTTTATTAAAAGTTGCAAATTCTTATCAGATAAATTTTTGTCAATAAGAATACGTGAGCAAAAGGAACAGCTGATTGTGACTTATGGTCGCTGACTATTTAATTCAGCATTCAGCTCAGCATGTCTACAGAATTGGAGAACGATTTGTTTTTACTAAATTCTAAACGTGGTGTGATTTTATTTAGCCAATCAAAATTCGATGGCTTCATTCTCTATGCTTATGAATCCATCTCTAAAGAATAATATAAAATTATTAAATATTGTAATTTCCAGATGTTATTTGTGCTATTCGAATTAAGTATGTGTACATATGTATGTAGGCAATAAATTTGTAAATAAACAAGTCAAAAGCGAAAAGGTAAACTGCGGTTGCACGGAAGCTATAATATCCTTCACAAATAAAGCTCGATACAAGAATTTGATTTAAATGGGTCAATTTGGCAAAACCCAATTTTCTTTTTTCAAGTTTTAAAAAATTGTAGAATTTTACACTTTTTTTATAACTTTTTTAGTTTAACTATAAGATATTTTATTAAAAAATATGAATCTAAAGCCTGCATTGTTGTTATTATCTTAGTAAATGCGGTGAAGAAAATGTTTGTATAAGCGGAAAGTAACTCTCGTTTTGCACGTCCGGCAAATGCACTTGCGAGAATGCATCGGGCAATTGCTTCCCAAAATCAGAATATAAAAGACTTTTTATTCAAGCAATGTGAGAATGATGTTTAAATTTATAACTATAAACCCCAGAAATTTCGTTTTAGTCAATTAATTCTTTGGCCCATAAAGAGATCCTAAAAAATCGATTTTTTGAAGCTTTTAAATCAAGCTAATGGGGGATCTAAACAATTTGTTCGACGACTGTAGTGTTACTTTGGCCAATAATTCATGCCATTTTTCGTGAACATATCTTATATACCTTTCAATAAAAACTTCTTATATTAGAAAGTAGAAAGCTGTGTAAACAAAATCGCATTAAATATTCCAGACTTTATTATTTCATGATAGTAGAAACGAAGATAAATAAATAAGCAAATTAACGCTTCAATAACATATTATTAAAGGTTTACTTTAAAATACATATGTACATACATATAAACGCATATGTAAATAAATATATTATTTTGATTTGGCCGATTTCGTTAATATTTTAAAGTTTGTTTTGTGAATATGCTCTTGCTTTAAATACAAGAGGGCTTTGCCCAGATTTACATACATAAGTATTTCAGTTGCTAAACAATTCATTATTGTGACACACATTTTTTCGCATATTTACTTGTGCTGCTTTTTATGTGATGTTCATAAAAATCAAAATGAAATGTATAATAAATTGGGTATTTAAGGGATAGAATACAAATACAAAAACACCGTAACATCTGTCAAATATTCACATAAAAAAAACCATTATATGATTGACACCAACAGGCAACGCACTAAAACACTTACCATCATATCCTGAGGAACGTAGAAATCTGATACTGCCGCTGCTAAATATAACAACGCTCTCTCCTCGAACGCCGCTAGACATTCACATGCGGCACGTAATAGCCACAAATAATCCGCCACCGTGTTGAAGTTAACATACAAAATCATTTGGGATTCGCGGGCTTGTTTATATTTGGCTAAAATCGGTGCGAATACATCAACGGAATCCGGTTTAACCGTAATCGCTGTACTTTGCCCATTGTCGGTAATGTCGAGCATATCAAAAAATTGTTGGCCGGTAAGGTGTCGTGTAAACGGTTCTAACGACTTGACGCGATACATAAATATAACGGCGTAGTCATGATCGAGGAAATATTCAGCAGATGCTGAGCCACGTGTTCCCGCACTAAAATTATCAACAAAGCGTACGGTGTTGTGCTCCAGAGGTACTGTGGTCCCACCTGACTGAAATTACAGAAATGAAATGAGAAAAGCAAATTGGAAAAGAAAATGTGTAGAAGGAGTTTCAGGTTTGATAAGAAAATGTTTGAAAATATTTGGCAGTACAAGTGGGCTGAAAAGTTTATAAGCTGAGACAGAGATGACAGTACTAATATTACATCCTTATAATTTTTAGCCAGCATTTTTGAGATATTGTTTTTGGGTAAAGCAAGTTGTGTTAGTTTACGACAAATTGGTCAAAAGGAATTTCGTGTGTTCATTCGTTTTTTGTTTGTTTTTTTTTGGTGGAAAAAAATACTGCTGACTTTTTCATGTTCGCAGAACTCAAGAGAATGCTCGCTGGAAAGTAACAATAAAAAGGTAATAGCAGAAACTGAATCTTATTTTGAGGCTTAATACAAATATATTATACAAATGGTATTAAAAAATGTATTGACCGCTACAATTGTTGTATCGCCTTCGAAAAATAAAATCAAATTTTATTAAAAAAAAAACTATGCGCAGTTATATACATATGTGAAAATTGTTTCAGTTAATCAATGCGCTATTTTTAATTACTTGATTTACTTTGCTAATTCATCCTGTAAAGTAACAGTATAAAAAAATATACATATATGTATATACATACATATATAAATTTTACTAAATTAATCCAAAATAAAGTTGATGAAACTTTTATCTTTCTCACGCCAATCAGGTTTAAATAACCGGATTTTGTATATCTTGCCAAAATATGTCACAACATTCTTCATAGGCTAACGACATATGTAATCACAAACATATGTATGTATGTATATATCAAGTTATTATTTACAATAATTATATGTGAAAACTTACCGTTACAAGGACGATACGGTTTTGCAATTTATTGTGACGTTCACAAAATTCTTTCAATAATGAACGATTATCCTCGAAATCGGTTGGCGGTAAATGTGTATTATAAAAATCCTCCCAGTGCGTCATGATGATTAAATTTTTAATAGGAATAATATATTTAAATATACTGTGCGATCTGTTTTAAATGTTTTTTTTTTATCGTAGAGAATTTCACCGTCACAAGTAATTACAATGTTTGCGTAGCAAATATAGTTTTCCGGTTTTAGATTCAGTTGGCTTTTCAATTTCAACTTTGATTGAATTAAATGTGTCGCGTTTGTGTTTCCTTTCAAACTCGTTGCCGGAAATTAAACTTTAGCGATGATATCTGTATACTAGTTGTTATGAGCAGTATTATGTTCCAACTTGGTAGGTATACGGAAATAAAGAAACTCAACTTTTCTGTGCGAAAAAAAAAGAAAAATAGAGAGGCATTTAACACTTCAAAAATATTTGGGATCCTTTCAGAAGCAGTCATTTCAGAAGGTCCAATAACTTTTGGCATTTTAACATGCACATGCTAGATGTACATTTATCCTATAAGAAAACTTTAGTTTTTAACAGTCGATAGAAAACTACGGGTTTCCAGGGTAATCGAATACACATAAACGAAATAATCAAAAGACTAAAACATTTTGTTTTAGACCACGTAAAAAATGTTCATTATTAACCATAATTTTCTAATTAGAAAGTAGCCTTAGAGAACAGGTTTGAACCCAAACCACGATCCTTTCAAAACAAACATAAGTTTACCACATTCGTTCATACTTTATTTTCCAAATAATTTCTAACCACATTCTCATTCTCACTATTAACCACTTCGTTGTACTTTGAGATTAACAATTAATCGACAAACCGTGATCACATGCACTACACTTACTTTTAACTTAAAACTTTGATAGAAATTAATAATTGATGGAAATAATAACACTCACGACGTCTCGCCAACGTACCGAAAAGACAAAAAACATTAAAACGGAGCAATCAATTCACTTTAGTTTCGTTATTAAATTATTAGGAATTTCGATGCACTTTACTATAACCATATTACATTCGAACCGCGCTGTGTTCCAAAAAACTCTGATTACACTCCAAATTCATTTATATTTTCTATGTCCACCAGAATTCTGACGAAAATTACACAGGCGCAGAGAGCAACGTTCAAAGTCGACATATGAACAAATGTCAAAAGAACAGGGTTGCCGTCAGCTTTAGCAACCATAACAGATGTTAATATAGGGAGACTCAAAAGTTTATTTTCATTCACATTGTTTTATTTTCAGTTGCCAAGCCATTAAAAAAAAAAAAAGGAACAAAGCARGGAACTGAAATGGATTGTAAAGAACTCTCAATATTTAAACTTAAGAAATATTCAAAAATTTATAGACTCTTATATTATCCTCTAAGGCGGCAACGATACATATTTCTAACCAAGTCTATAGTTAGTTCGGCAACGTTATAAAATCCAAAGTGCCCAGATTATTTCAGTGATAACAAATTCTAAACGTCAAGATATTGAGAAATTGATAATTGCGAATTGTTGTTTGTTGTCAGCTGGTGAACGGTGTAGTTCGACAGTTTGTTTTGGTGGTTTACTTGTCGGTGTACGTAGCTGTGATTTACATAACTTATTGGAGCAAGGTATACATCTTCTTATTCATCTCTTCCAGCGTTATACATAAATGTTGAGAATACGAAATAAAAACCAGCTTTATCTATTATTTTTTGTTGACATATAGCTATTTATTAAATAACATCTCTTTTTGTCAAGCATCCTTACGTGTTTCTGAAGTGGTTGGTAGCAGTTAATATTCACCAAACACCTTCGAAGAACAAAATATCACGATGGCCCAACGTGCACCTAACAAAAATCTTGTCGCCCAATTGGTGAACCAATTGAAGAGTAAGGAGTTCCGTCAATATTTAATGAGGTTTGTAAGAATTTTTGTTAAAAAAGAAAATATACAATATTTTTTGTCGTTTGCAGCACACATTTCTGGGGTCCCGTAGCTAATTGGGGTATCCCACTGGCAGCAATTGCAGATTTCAAGAAAGAACCAAAATTTATTTCAGGAAAAATGACACTTGGTAATTTTGTATTTATACTTTGCTTTATTTTACGAATGATTTAGTTAATTTTTTAATGTGTTCTGTTAGTTAAACTGTGCTAGCATCTTGCACGCTTATATGTACATATAAATTTACATACATACTACCAAGTTAATTAACGACGTTGTCCCCTATTATAAATGTTAAAACCTTTATATAATTTTGGTTTTGTTTCGTATTGGTTAATTCGTTGTCTGGGCGGTCTTAATTCAAAGTAGTTGTGATTTAATTAAACGTGCCGCTTTTTATCAGCACACTTGAAAGTCATACACACTATCTCTATAGCCAAAAAGCTTAAGTAATCAGCGTAATCTCTTATTTCAGCTCTTACACTCTATTCTTGCGTATTTATGAGATTTGCTTGGAAGGTGCAACCCAGGAATATGCTCCTATTCGCTTGCCATTTCACAAACGCCACTGCCCAAACAATACAAGGAATACGTTTCATCAAATATGAATTTTTAGAGAAGAAGAATACGGCGTAAATCATATTATATTGTAATATCTATACGTATTGGTGCTGTTTCATGAGCTGCTGTTACAATGAAGTCATAGCTCTAATTACATAAATACAAATGTACAAAAACTAGCGCGAATTGGTTAATGAGGCTAAGCAAAGCGGCTCATGCACTTAATAAAAATTTATGAATTTATTACAACAACAAAATCTTGCACAATCAAAACTAATGAGCACTACATCACTTCGTGTAAATATTTATTATGCTAATAAGCTGTAAAATAAGTAGCTATGCATATATTGCATGTTTATTTAAAAGACCTAATTAACGAATTGACTACCAATATATTAATAGAACAAACAAGGAATGTCATATCTTTTATTAACGATTTATTTAGAATTCATATACTTAAAAGGAAAGGTAACTAGATTTGAATTCCTGTATTTAATTGAAAGTTTTTTGTAAAGCTACTGTTATCAATGACTGAGATTTTTTGTTGATAACGAAATATGAAGATAGATTAGCGAATTTTGTGATGATTAAAATTTTGCACATCAAGTTGAGCTTATGATTACATAGCTAGACGACGGCAGGCGCGTGTGTTAATGATTATGTACATAGATGATATGAGTGTGCATAAATTATCAACATGCAAAAATAATTGAAGTACTTATCTAGAAATTTTCGTTTGGTTGTATGTAAGTAGCCTGTTCGAATATAATTCCACCAAAGTCATTAACGATAAGCTTTCGTATATAAATTTGCGATTTAGGGGAAATAACGGTTTTAATAGATAAATAAGTGCCTATTTATGATTTTACCATTTGGTTTTTATCGACAGATAATTCTATGTATGTATGTACATATGTAGATAAGTACTTATGTGAAAATACATACATATGTCTTTCACAGTAACTTCTAACCCCAAATTAAAAATAAGTTTGTATTAGGTCGGGTAAAGAATAAGAAATATTTACTGTACACCTACGCTGCAAATTTCTAATAATGCATAAGAAAACATTTTACTTTACCCCAGCAGGCCGACAGTTGTTGAACTTTTATTGCATAGAAATCACTTGAACTGTCCATGTTCGCAATTAATAACATCTTCACATTCGATATAAAATTATTGCAACAGATTTTTAGTGCGCCGCGAATTAACTTTTAATTTATTCATGTATTTAATTTCAACAATTCAGTTTTTTGAATTTTATGTGGTAGGCGGCATTTGTAGCGTCAGCCGAAACTTTCGCAAATAACGTAGTAAAAACATAATCGATAAAATGACAAAATAGAAGCTATCGAAAGTTTGTATCGACATCGTAATAACGTAAGTAGACGTTCTAATAAACTATTAACTTAAATATTAAGTATAAAAACTATTAAACTATATCTGTTACGTTTCAGGGAGTATAAGTTATAATACTTACGCAGCACGCATCACATTACACAAAATAAATAACAAGAATATTTTGTTTTAACTATATTAAATTTGTTTTTTATTAATAATTTTATTTATTTTCTGATTTATGTTTTTGTTTTGCTATCATTGCCCGTTATATAATTTTTTGTTTACAATTAACATATTTATATTTTCAATTTAATAATAATTGTTTTTATTAAATTTTTTTCACATAACATATAAAGTTTTAATAAATTAAATTACTTATGAGTACATTAAGAATAAACAAATATTTCAAATCTTGTCGAAAGAGTTGTGTGACTTTCAGTTGCTGGTGAAATACGAAAGGAGTGGCCATATTTTGGATCCTATAACCGCAATTAAGCACAATTGCTTTGCAATTTATGTCAGCTGATTATATCTTACTTTGCACTTTGTTTACGAAGGGTTGGAAAATAGAAAATGTCCGACAAAAGTTTGCGAAACACAGATAAATAAATAAAAACAAATTTAATTATAATTGAAATCTCCATTATTTCAATATTGTGCACAAATATGCTTTTCCTATTACTTTTTATAAGTTTTGCAATAAATCTTTCTACAATACAAACATATTTGTTTATGTTGGTAATTGGTTAGATTGAAGGTGTTATTTTCTTTCATCAGTTCTGTACTTTTAATTAATTTTAATTTTGAAACATATAATTTTGTTTTGATTGCCGCACTTAACTAACCTTGTATTAGAATCATAAATTGTGCTTTGGTTTATTTTCGCAAATTTTTCTTTCAAATTTGCATTTTATATTTTAGATTAGTCTAACTAAATAAAAATAAATTACGCACGATTAATTTCAACCAGAATTTAATTTTCGAATAAATTGCGATTTCTTTTAACTATTTGAAAAAATTTTTATAATTGGAAAAAAAATGGTAAACTGTTCATTAAAATGTATATTAGATTAAGCTAAATTATATCAAGAAATATGATTTTTTTTTACTCTCATTAAAATTTCTTTTAAATATATCTTATCGTTTATAACCTTTTCTTTTTCCAAATAAAGGAAATTCAAAAAAACATGTCCGATAAAACTTTCTCTAAATTTCTTTGTTAAGAAAAGTTTAACGGTACGTCATTATTGTACTGGCCAAAAATGTAAAAGTCACTAGTTTTATTTTTAAAATTAGCTCAAATCAGCTCATTTACCAAGAAAAAATTATGTAAAGTATTTTTATAAATATGTTTGTTAAGAATAATATAACAATATGCCATTATTGTAATGACCAAAAGTATAAAAGTAATTTTCTTATATTTTAAGAGAAAAATATATTTAGAAGAAATAACACTACAGTTTTTTTAATTTAAGTTATTTTATTTATTGTATATAGTTCTTTCTTTTATAGCTCTTTTAGTAATTCCATTATATTCCTTAAATCGTAATAATTAACAGCTAAAAATTGTAGCAATTTTAGAAAAAGGCATACGTTTTCAATGTAAAAAACGGATGATACATTATTCTGTTTATTTAATATTATTTTTATAAAGTTCTTATATGTTGTAAGTTCGGTTACGGCGAGTGAATGTATAAGCGACGTTACGTTATGCGGTTTAGTGTTGATGTATGATTTTCATAAACTGCATGTTGGCCAACACTATTTTGGTCGCGGCGTCTCGTAGTTGACGCCATTCTGTGTTCGGTCTTGACATTAACGGATATTGCGTGCATTTATCAAATGGTTTCTCCTTCCCTTCCGTTAGGACCACGTAAATTTTGCAGATTTGTTATGAACTTGCATTTAATTAAAGTAATTGCGCTGTATTCTACTTCGTTCATTCAGTTCGTTCAAATTTAAATACAAGAATTTAATCTAAATGCTCATGTTTGAAAAGAAGAGCTCTAGTGGAGAGAGAGAGAGATTAAGTACTTGGTACTGAATAAGCTCTTACAAAATGCAACCAAATTAATATGGAGAGTTCGAACAATTGAAATTGAAATAGTATTTATAAACGCGTACGGAAAGAGTTATGTAAATGTTGAATTGAAAAGCGCTGGTTTTCAAAAATTTAAAATTGATTATTAATTAATCAATGTTGTTGATAGAGTGGCATCTCATACATGTATTATAAAATTCCAATAAGGTGAAGTTTAATAAAGTTGAAAAACATATTGAAAAAATAATAATATAAAAACATGATATATTATTTAAAAAAATGTAAAAAGCTTAACATTAGCGTCACGGCAAGATAGTACAGTAGATAAGTACAAGTAGATAAATAGTTTTGTTTATTTAAATTCTTGACGAACGAATATGCCTTGTGGAAAAGATCATACAATTGGTTTGAGTGAATATATGAAAGGTTACGTTTACTACCATATATATATTTTATACCCAAACAACTACCCACAGCGCATGAAATATACAAATGATACAAGTATATGCAGCCTAACTAATTTTGAAAGAAACTAACTTTGCCAATAAGACATTTGTTTTTGTATTTATTTTTCATTCTTTATTTATTTTATTACTTTATTTGCCAATTAAAACTTAATGATTTACACAACAAAAAATCTACCTTAAAGTTCGCAGTCTGTTTTTTTTTCTTGTTCAGAAAGTACGTGAATGCCGCTGCATCTCATTTAGCATTACGTTGCGCCACTTTGTTTTCATTAAATATGTAATTACTTAAAATATGTCTGTATGTATATGCCATTTTTTCTAACTCAACGATTCCGTTACTACTTTTGCGATCACATTTTTCTTATATAATATTATTTATGTTCTTGTTATTGTTTTTTTTTTATCAAAACATACATTTTATGTTCGCACAATTATTTTTATATTCATACATTTTTTGTTTTTGTTTCTTTTTTTACTCCATTTAAAATACAATTAGTTAATTATATAATGTGTAATTTTAACACATTGCTTAAATTTAATATACACACGGCATGTGTATAGGCGAAATATATATGTATATGTATATGTGTTATTAAAATTTAGATTTATGCACTAAAACAATTTTTTTTAGCACTACATAAAAAAATGTTACAATAATCAAATGAGTGTTATCCATATGTTTAGTAATTTTATAAAATAAGATAAAAAAGTAAATATATTTTGCTACAACAAAACGAAAATCACGTGAAATAAGAATATATAAAAATGTTTGAAA